CCGCCCATGGCTTCTTTTGCCTTGCAGCCGAGGGCCAGGCAGAAGCGGGAGCGAGAAGGCCGGCTGTCCCCCTCTGGGTCCGGGTGGCTGAGGGCGAGTCACTCCGCCGAGGCCACCGGACAGCAGGCGCTTTGATTTTCCAGCATCGGCAGCTGGAAAACGGCCTCCCCCGCCTTTCTCTTCGGGACATCCGGGGTTAATTCTCTGTGGGGACCCCTCTCTCCCACACCCACACCCCTCCCCGGCCCAGCTGCTGCCTTACTGCCCTGGGGTTACCATCTGCCCTGCCTGGGAAGCGCATCTGGTGCCTTGAGCGCAGGGAAGAGACGGGGGGGGGCGGGTTTGGGAGGGGTCTTTTGCTGCTTCTCTCTCTCTCTTTCTCTCTCTCTCACACACACACACATACACCAGGTACAGTACACCCCTGAGAAGAGGCAGACTTCCGCAGGGCGAGAGGGGCAAAACCGCAGGATAATTTTGGCCCTGTACACTTGCAATGGAGCCCATGAAGGCGAGTGAGGTGGGGTTTCTGGGGGGGGGTCTAGACAGAGCAGGGGGTCTTCTGGTTTCTAAAGCCCGTTTGAGACCTGGTGATGCAGAGCCGGAAACCTGTCACCCTCCTGGTTCCTGCAACTCCCATTATCCCCAGCCATTGCCCATGCTGGCTGGGGTTTATGGAAGCTGTAGTTGAGGCTCCTGGGGTGGCTGATGGACTGGAGGGGGTTGCTATATCCTTATTTGGGGGGGGCAGTCGCTCCAGTCACAGGTGACCCACCCCACTTGCTTTTGTCCCGAAAGAAATATTGGATTAAAGGCAGTAACATTATTTCACTAAATAGAATTTAAAACCCATCAATAAAGAAAACAGAGCGTCCATTCAATAAAAAGACCTCCCTTCTCTGCAGCTGTTACATTAATTACCAAGATCTTTCTGTTCAGGCAAGCTCTTGCCAATTAATGGGACGGTTGCATTAATAAACTTTGGCTGCTGGCGGAAAGAAGCCCTAGTGAGGAAAGGGGGAGGGAGCTTAGCCTGGCCTCTAGTGGCAGGGAGTTCCACAGTCTGCAAGCAGCCGCCAAACAAGTAGGCCCTCTCTTGGGATACTGCCAGGTGCATCCTTAAGGATGGCAGGAGCAAGAGAAGCGGCTTCCCCGGGGATGCCAAAACCCATCCCGGCTTGTAAGGGTCTATATAGGATCACTAAGAGAGCTTATTAGGCAGGTGCATTAAGAGGTCTTTGTGCCTATTCCCTCCTCTGCTTATTTATTCTGCAAACTGTAACACGTTGCCACTGTACCCAGTGATACATATTGTGGCACTGTTATCAGGCTGCTACAAGCGCTATTCGGCGCTCCTTGGACATTTCTGGATTCTGGATCATTTTTTAAAATGCAAAGCCTGCTTTTGATTCCCCCCCCGCCCCCGCCCCCGCCTTGTATATCACTGCAATATATCCTGAGACCATGTTCATCAATTCAATCGGTTGTGCAGGAACACGGCGGGCTCTTGGGTTCTGGTTGTCCTGTTTCGGAAGAGCCATATGGAGGAAAGGGTCTGTTTTACAGGGTTTCAGGAGGGCTGCCAGGCGCTGGTGCCAGATGGATGGTGCTGAGCACTCTCTGCTCCTGCCCGGCAGTTTTCTTCTCGGGCTGTGCAGCAGGAGGCGAGTGGTACAGGGAGATGGAAAGCAGGTTCTTAGTTTCTCTTAACCCATCTTCCTTCCTCCAACTCCCCTTCTCCCTCCTCTCCCGAAACCTTCTATGCAAGGGAAGGGACTTTGAAGCTGGTTCAGCTTAATCTCGCTCCGTTTTCCACCCCCGCCACTGCTGTCTTGGCAGCTCTGCAATCTTTCAAGAGTATCTTATTTGTCTCTTTTATCTGCAGTCCTCCAAGGATCTCTGTGGGTCCTCCCCACCACTCCCCTTAAATCTCCCCCTTAATCTTGCTAAATCCTTTTTGCTTTCTCTCTGGATAGCTTGGGCTGGGTTAGAATTAAGGCTCTAACTCCCAGCTCGGTCTCCTCTCTCCAGCAGCTGTGATGGGAAACCAAGGAAAACGGAGCTCTTATAGCTCAGTGGTTTCAGCCTCTGGCTGTGGTGCCAGAGGTTGGGAGTTCGATTCCCCCACGCGGCCTCCTTGAGAGGGGCTGGAATCCCTGATCCACACAGGTCCCTTCCGGATCCACAGTTCAAAGATTGTTATTCCTACACTCCTTCCTTGCCAAGCTGTTTCTCCTTCTGCCTCCCTATAGCCTGTCCTTTCCCCACCCCCCACCCCACCAGCATCCCTGTGACTGGAAGAGAGGCAGCGATGGTGGGGCTGATTATTGCTACGTAGCATGCAGAACTGCCCCGTCGGAGGTCCCTTCAGATCTTGACGGACCACTTTCTCACTGATGCAGCTCCTTAATTTCAGAGCCAGGATGTTATGATCTTCCAGGCTGTTAGTTCCTCCAGTTGAGAAGCACACAAGTGCTCTCTCTCTCAATCTCCCCTCCTCCCCCCCCCCACTCCATGGTTTACAACTGCTATTACATTCCTGATACATGAAAGCAACAAAACCTGGTTGCTGGCCACAATTTTCTAAACAAGAAATATTTTGAACACATGCAGTTTCTCGTCTGAAATTCACTTGAACCCTAACAGCTTTATGACTGCACGGATAAAATGGAAGTGAGCGTTGGCGGGCCCGATGTCACATGTCTGCTTGGGAAGAGGTGCTCTTTGTGTTATTGGGGGGGGGGGAGAGAATAACAATATATTTGCAGTGAAAGAATAAAATGAAAATCTGTAAATAGATATATCCCTGGTGTAAATTGTTTGAAAACAAAAAGGAGAAGGGTAGGATGCTGCTGAGGGTCCCTGGAAACCCACACCAGCCCAAATGCTACTACTACCCCCCATTTTTTGAGAAAGGGGGGGACTTCTATGCTTGGCCCCCTGCTCATCCTGCCATGACCTCCTGCTCCATGCTTGGCCTACAGCTCCTTGTCCCAACACCCTCTTCTTAGCTCTGGAATCCAGAAACAGGCGGGTCCTCGTGGCTAGGTAGCCTGCAGGGAAAGAGTTAATAGGATCCCTGGCAGGGGAAGGGTATTCATCCCCCTCTTTTGTCCTCAGCGTGGCCTCTGAAGTTTCCTCTTCTCTTCCTGCCCAGATAGGATTCCTTCCCGGCAAGGGCGGGCAGGCGGGCAGGCGAGTGGGAGGACACGGAGAAGCTGGCTGATCTCTCTGGTCTCCAGCCCTTCCATGAAAGGAGCGAGTCTCCAGTCTGGGCTGCCTGTACCAGGGGAAGGAGGCTGAGCGCGCTGGCCAGTCTTGCAGTGGCAAAAGCCGGTCTCAGCCTGGAGCACTTTGTGACACACATCCCTGCTTCTGGATGCCTCAAAGGTGCCGGGATCCTGAGCCACTGCTGTTTTGGCCCAAAGGGGCCATGTGAAGGGCCACCCTGCCCCCAAAGGGCGCCAGTGGTGCAGGAGGAGTGATGCAGTTGCTTGCACCTCCCTCCCAAGGGCACCCTCTAAGCAAGACCCCTCAGATTTGGCCCCAGGATTCGTGGAAAGGGGAACACGGCCTTTCTCCCACTCTGGGAAGGGAAGGGACTGGCTCCGGACGCCACTGGCGGCAGCTGGGCTTGGAACACTTCCATCTAGAAGTTTAGGCCTCTGGGCTGCAGACCCAGAAGGTGGGAGTTCAATTCCCCGCTGGGCCTCCTTGACAGCAGCTGGACTCGATGATCTGTCGGGACCCTTCCAGCTCTGCCGTTCTAAAATTGTGAAGAGGGAGACGGCTTATCAGATGTACCTTAGGGAAAGTGGTGAGGCTAGCCCTGTGGAGGTGGCAAACTCTGGAGGTGGCACCTGTCTGTCTGTGTGTGGGAAACCTCTGCTTAAAGGCTGTAACTGCATGCTGCTTCAGTGACGTGCATACACTCCTGCCAGGATGTGGCAGCGGCCAGCGGGCGGGGTAGCCCCCTCTTCTGCCCTTTCGCTTAGAGGTAGAGCATAAGGTCAAAGGGTTATTGTAGCCAATCCAAGTTACGATTAGGTAACGAGTATCCTATCTGTTTCTCTAATAACTTACTATGTGATCATGCTAAGTCCGTAGTCTCTCTTGTTCCATAATCAGCCACATATGTGCAAGCTGGGCTTAAGTCTCTGAACCCCCATCCCCACCACCCCCCAGGTCCTTCCCAGAGTGTAAAGGCTCTGCTGATGACGGGCACCCTTCTAAGCACTGAAGATTCAGGCTTGGAGTGTTTTCACAGATGCAAGCAAGTGGAAGCTCAAAGTCATTCGCCCCATGCAGTAGCTGGGCCTCTGTTTGCAACCCTTCCTTGAACCTGGTTTCTGCAGGGCCCTGGGACCTGACCGCCCCCTCCTCCCCTCCCCCATTCCTCTTGCAGGAAGCTGAGATGCCAGATGAGGTGAACATTGACATCCTCCTGGAGATGGCGACGGATGAGGAAAGGGCCAAGAAACTGCAGGTGAGGAAATGGGGGGGGGGACACCCACCAGGTAAAGCCCAATGAGGAGGTGGAGTCTGAAAAGGGCCCTGTTTGGTGATGGGTCGGGCTGGTCCTACCAGTCCAACATTATTGGGGGTCAGAACTGAGGCAAACGAGCAATTCCTCAGAAGTTGGTGTCAGGGCCGTTATCTCCCCGCGGACCACTTTGGCACGGTCACGTCAACTGAATTGCAAGCAGCGTGAGAACCGAGCTAGGAACCCAGGGGAAGAGTGAGCTGCTGCTTCAGATCCGGGAGTCAGACCAGAGAGTCTGGATCTTGCCATTGAAGATTCCCAGGGTCAGAGGAGGAGGAACTTGGGCTGGTGCTAAGTTTTCCTGTCCCCAACTCGTGAGCCAAGGGTATGACTGTCTGGTCCCTGGCCTGCATAGAAGAGCTGGCCCTGATGAGTTCAGGGACCAAGGTCTAAAGGGCGTTTGCCTTTCGGTTTCAAGAAATAAATATCATGGGTGCGCAAAAGAATGCCTATGCATGCCGTTGTGGGGTACCAAATGGGCTGCTAGGAAACGGAACGACACCAGGGGTCCTTCAACGCTTCCAGGCAGACCGAGGATCCAAGGAGGGGCCTTGGGCAAGGAGTCCAGAGAGCAGATGTTTGGGCAGGGGGTTGGGGCAGGGAGGAGGGCATCCCGTCGGCCTGTGGGAGAGTTGATGGTGGGCCATCTTTCCACAGAAAGCTTGGGGCCAAGCCAGAGCCCAAAGACATACCACCTCCCCCACCCAGCCCCTGGGAGAAAATATAATGTAGACAGCTAGAAAAAACGAACTCTCTCGCAACTCTCTGTGTGCGTACCCACACCCCCCACTCCCAGGCTGCCAAGTTGGGGTGCCATGAAAAGGCTACCAAATGACTTGGCTTTTGTACCTTGGGTGGGGTGGGGTGGGGTGGGGTGCGAGACAGGCCCTGGCAGGACCACCTGCTGTGCCCCCAAAGAAGCACACTGCTGTGGCCAGGTCAGCTGGTCAGCTTGTTGCCCTCTCCCCCCCCCACACACAGCCATTCCTCCCTCTTCTCTCTTTTCCAGGGCATTTTGGAGTCCTGCCACAGCAACACTGAGGTAGGTGCACCAACGCTCCAGGGCTTCTCTCACTGAGCCCCATGTGGGGCGAGCGCATGCACTGTGTGGGGCAGAAGTGGGTGTCCGGTGAGTGGCAGAGCTTGGTGTTGCTCAGGGGTTCCTGCCCCACATTCTGTGGGGAATCGGGGTCGGATGGGGAGTTCCCATTCCACGCAGGAGACCGGCTTTCCCAGAGCCACTCTTCCCCTCTCGGCCGGGTGCTGAGCCTCCCAAAGGAGGAGGAGGAGGAGGGACCGGCTCCAGGATTCCTGGAGTTCCAATCCCAGCTGGTCATTTGCAAATAACACCACTGCCTTCTCCTATCCTGCTTGGCCCGAGAGGAGCCCGTTGGCTGAGTGGTTCTGAGTGTCCTTCCCTCCGTCTGCCCCACAGGGTCTGGCTGCTGATGGCACTCGGCCCTTGAAAGCCGTGGTCGCTGATGCCCACTGGTGGGGTACAGAGTGGGGCCCCTTCTTCCTTTGCATGGCATCATAAAATCATGCCATTGGAAGGGTTCAACCCCCTACTCAAGGCAGGGATCCAAGTCAGCCTGCCAATTGGTTGTCGAAACGTCTCTTGAATGCCTCCAGCGTTGGGAGTGTTCACCGCCTCCTCCCGAGGTCACGGGGTTCCATCCACCCCCTACTCAAGGCAGGGATCCAAGTCAGCCTGCCAATTGGTTGTCGAAACGTCTCTTGAACGCCTCCAGCGTTGGGAGCGCTCACCGCCTCCTCCCGAGGTCACGAGGTTCCATCCTTGTACTGCTCTAACAGTTAGGAAGTGTTTTCCTGATATTCCATCAAGACCTCGCTTCCTGTTTCTTGAAGCGAGTTAGGAAGTTTTTTCCTGATATTCCATCCAAACCTGGCTTCCTGTTTCTTGAAGCACATGGTTGTGTGTCCTGCACTCTGGGATGATTGAGAACCAACCCTACGTACGACCCTCACCCCCTGCTGTGTGGAAGGAGTGTTCAGAATTCATGAGGGGAGGGATTGTCCCATCGGCCCAAACTGTAGGAGAACCCCTGGCCGTCCAGGGTCGCTGCCCAGCTGCACGGAGCGTGGGCCCCACCCAGAACTGGGAATGCGGCCACCCAGCTCCCTGTTCAGGGTGGGTGGGTGGGTGGGTGGAGGGGACAGGT